TACTTCCTTTTATTTTTTTTAAACCTGCTGCCTATTAATTTAATTTGGAGACCTGTAGTTATTGTGTAAATGGCACTTCCTTATTTATGTTCTCCACACCAGTCATGATTTTGTAGACCATGATCATATCACCCCATAGTCACCACTTTTCCAAGCTTAAAAGTCTCAGTTTTACTAATCTCTCCTCATATGGAAGCCCTAATAATATCCCCTAATAATTTCTGATGCCTTTTTCTGCACCTTTTCCAATTCCAACATTTTTTTTGAGATAGGGCAACCACATCTGCACACAGTATTCAAGATGGATTTGCATAGAAGCAATAAGATATTTTCTGTCTTATCTATAATTTTCTTAATGATTTCAGATAGTCTCTCTGCTTTTTGACTGCTGCTGCAAGTTAAGGAAATGTTTTCAGAGAACTAACCACAATGAGTCTCAGATTGCTTTCTTGAATGATAAGTTTATTTAGATACCATCATTTTATATGTATAGCTGTGATTGTTTCCTAATGTGCATTACTTCTCATTTATCAACATTAAATTTGATCTGTTGCTCAGTCACCCAGTTTTGAGAGATCCTTTTGTAGCTCTTCCTAATCTGTCTGTGACCTTAACTATCTTGAGTGGTTTTGTATCATCTGACATTAGAGTATGGAAAGGAAACAACATATCTTTCTAGACTTTGTGCTTGGGCTAGACTTTTTGGAGAAATTACATTTCTCCCTTGTGTCTCTGGTATTACAATCCAGAAATGGAATAAGGATTTATTGAATAAAATTAAAGTAACCATAGTGTCTCAGTTTCAGGGTAACGGTGCCTGTATTTACCTTCTTGTTGGTCCATTCCATCAGCACCCAGATAGATCTCAGCATTCCGGCCATCACCTGGCTCTGGGTAGGAACCCTTGTTCCACTACTTTCTCACCAGAGGTTTTATCCCTAGCAAACTAGTCTGAGCTGGAGCCCATGTGCAGTTTCTATCCATGGTCTGTGAGCAATGTCTTACCAGCAGTTACACGTTACCACATAGCTCTTGGTAAGCAAGCACACTTATTCTTAAAGTAAAATTATTTCAGAGCATACACAATAAAATAATAAACAGTTTTAAACACATACACACACGAAACATACCCAGAGTTACCCATCAGTCTTATGAGGCCCTACTACGTCAAAATGTTTCCAACCTTTTGGCAAAGAGTAGGAACCCCCTTTTGACCAGAATTAAAAGGGAGGCCTTGTTTTAGTTTTAACACAGCTTTTCTATAGCAAAATCCCTTTCTTTGTCCTTGGGTTTCTGGAAAATCAAAAAAATATATGGAATTCTTAGACCCATAGCTCAAATCTTGTGATCCTGACCCAGCTGACAGTGGCCTGCCATGCTGCTGGTGTTTTATTGCAGGGTAGATGTGCCATTAGTTTAATTTTCTAATAGTCTGTCCTTAATGGAATACCGTAGAGAATTCTATGCTGATGTATGGATGATCCCAATGAAGTATGAAATTCCAGCAATGTGAACCTGTATTTACTGCATTTTCAATGAATGTTCACTTAAAGGCTTTAAACGGTTAAGAAAATTATTTTCTTATGTTCTTGTAGAAATGAGCAATAAACAACTGCCATGTTTATTTTGTCTACCTATGTTAGAATTGCAGATTGTATCCTTTTTTTTCACGTATTGAGTATTTTTATAATTTTTTTGGTCCTATTTGTGGTAGTTCATATTCGGTACGGACTTTGTCTTAGGGACTTGTCTAATAGACTCCTTGTGAGTTGGGCTTACATTGGTTAAAATAATTAACCAGCCATGAAGTTAATAGCAGACAGAATGTTGTACTTCCCATCTTCTGTTTCTTGATTGGAGGCAGAGACTAAATTTGGCTTCTTTCCGATGCAACAGCCAGAAGAGAATAAGGGTTTGTCCTCATTAGAAAATGTCATCACTTTAACTATTCATGCAAATATGTGGCATTGGCAAACTTCAGCATTTTTTAATAATTTTGACTGATAAAACAGATATCTATTAATCATTTACAATATCTCTTTAAATTTTCAGTCCTGTAAAATTATGGGTTTAAAATATGTTTTCTATTTTTCAGTTTTCACAGTTGTGGGAATATGGGTGGTCAGAGAATTATTTAATGACAGATGTTAAGATTCAAAAAGTTAAAACTTCAAACTTATCTTTGTCTCTCTCATAGTTATATACAATATAGAGATTATATATTTTTCAGAGTGGTCCAGTTGACTTCTCATTCTGTTGTCTTCTCTTCCCCCATTACCCCAAGATTTTGGATTTACTGTACCCTAAAGTCCTGAAGTATAATTTGGCCTGTACTGAATGCATACCTTAACATTTTCATAAACAGAGATCAAGACTTTTGTCTTTACATTTATGTCAGTATAACCTTAAATGGTGTTCATTCATTAACTTGGTAAGGCCTTAAGATTCCTATTCATTCAGTGTCATATTCCACTTGGTCAATGCTTTGGTTCTGCATTTAGGCTTAGCTTGCTTAGATTAGTTTATTTGTGATGACATTGTTTACAGAAGCTAAGCTCTTGACAAAACTCTACTACAAGTAATATGCTAGAGTTAGGGTACTGGGTGTTACTGTTGCAATGTATTTTCGAGACTTGTTATAGTTTGAAAAGTAAGTTGACCTATACCACTTTGATCTCTCAATATTTGTGTTGCAGCCATGAAAACATGCATTTTATAAGTTTAGCTGTATTCTAATCATTATTAAGGTGATATATGCACTACAGTGACATGTATAACATTTTTTCCATGTGAGCACATACTTTGTGTTTGCAGCTTCTCATGATAGGACTGCTTTTTCTCTCATGTACAAAATTATGTGCAAGTCTAAAAGATTTCATAGATGCAATATCTGGAAATTTCATATTGGTGAGTTTTTTTTTCTATGACTATTGTAAGGAATTTATAAAGGTGCAAGTTAAGTATAAAAAAAGCATCATGCATACCAATCTTAGAAGTTATAAGAACTGCCTAATTAGCTAGAGTACATAACAGCAGCCTGTAAATTGCATCTTTCATTGAGTTCAGTTCACCCAAGTGCAGAATTGCTTTAGGCACTACTTAAGACCAATATTAAAGGCTTACATAATGCATAGGCTCTTGGTGCAGTCTTTTCTCTGAGAAATTTCACAGTGTCTGAATACTTAGGGTATGTCTACACTGCAAATAGACCCCTGCAACTGAACCATGCCAGCTAACTAGGGCTTGGGCTAAGGAGCTATTTAATTGCAGTGTAGATATTCTGACTCTGGAGGGAGCCTAGCCTCCAGAATCCTGCAAGGTATTTACAGCGTAGACATACTCTGTGTGACACATTCTACTTCTTGGTCCATCTCTCACTGATTTGGAAGGCAATAAATACATCTCGGGGCAGAATTAGCCACTGCATTAAAGGGTTCTGGGGTGATCAGTGAGAATTTTGCTATACAGCTGGTTTGCACCCACATATACTCTAATGATTTTTCAGTGTCTGGTTACCAGAGTTTATATAATTCAAGAGTTACAGCTACAATTTATGAAGGTGTGCTATTGTGACATTTACCTTATATTTGAAGCTGGATTAAAAACCAGACTAGTGTTTGCACTGATTCTGAGTAAGTTAGAGAATGGATGCATATTTTTCAGGAGTGAAAATAATTAATACACTCATCCGAACAGGAGATGGCAAAACAGATTAACTTTTACTGTATTTTTATCTAGTGGGTGATGGTAATATAATCTAAACATTTCTGCAACTTTACCTGTGCATGTATGTTAACCTGTGACAATGTAATTACAGGATATAGGTCTACACTGCAATATAAATCCCAGGTTAGTAGAATTCAAGTTAGTATACCCTAGGTTTGTTAAGATAGGTCTTGAATATTTATACTCATTTGTAATCCCATATTAGGAATTGTTGAACCTGAGTCCCAAACTAGGGCTACAACATTTATGCTGCATTATGCAGGCCTTGAGACAAGCCACTCATATCCAAGCCTTTTAATGCCCTCAAAATATGACTGCTTTAGCCCTTTTTTGGTGATACAGTGTAGGAGAACGTGATTGTCCACTAAACTTGAGTGTCCACAGGACCAAGAAAGTCAGCCAGTGATTCTGGGATACTTTTGGTAGACTCTCAGAATATGTCTACACTTGCCCCCTATTCGAACTAGGGAGGCAAATGAAGCATACTGAAAGTGCTAATGAAGCACGGGATTTACACTCATCCAAACTCATCCAAATATCCCGCACTTGATTAGCATATTTGTGGCCGGTCGCTGTTTTAAAATGCCGGTAGATCAAATTAACTTGCTGCATGTAGACGCGGCAGTCCGATCCAAAACCATCCAAAACCATTCCCTCGAATTAACTGTTATTCCTCATTGCACGAGGAGTAACAGTTAATTCAAGGGAAGGGTTTTGGATCAGACTGCTACATCTACATGCGGCAAGTTAATTCGGGCTACCCGCATTTTAAAATGGCGACTGGCCGGGAATATGCTAATCAAGCGCGGGATATTTAAATCGCGTGCTTCATTAGCAACTTCGGTATGCTTCATTTGCTTCACTCGTTCAAACTAGGGGACAAATGTAGTCATACCCCCAGAGTCCTGTGGGTCTGCATCTACACTATAAAGCAATAGAACTTGAACCCTGAGGCCCAGCTTGACTCAGGCTCAGACTCTCTTCCCTCATGGGTCTCAAGAGCCTGGGTCTGAGCACGGAATTAGCATGATTTCTGTGTAGACAGAAGAAGGGTTAGTCTGAATCTGAGTTTGTACCCTGGGTTTCCATTGCAGTATACATATACGATACCCATAGAAAGTAAGGGCTTCTACTCCATTGAATGCAGTGAAAAGACACTCCTATTGACTTCAGTGTATTTTGGATCATGCTTTAGAAGTCAAATTGTGATAATGAAAATGTTAAAGCATTTACAATACATTATCTGTTGATTCATTGTAATGTAATTTTTTAAGCTTCAGCATCTTCAAGCAGACCAAACCTTGGGCCTGTGGCATTGACAGTGATAGTTACCGTGCCAGTATGCATCTTGTCTTTATCTGTAATGCTGATTGTATATACATGTCAAGGCCGTCACTGTACATTCAGAAAGAAGAAGCGACAAAATATTGAAGAACCTCTATCTGAGTGCAACCTAGTAAACTCTGGGAAAACTCTTAAAGATCTTATTTATGATATGACAACATCTGGGTCTGGATCAGGTATGTATGTACTAATAAGCACATTAAAACTTCTGTCTTTATTAATAAATAGCCAGGAGAACAGAATCACAATATTAAGTGTTTTTTAGTTATTTAGTTCAATAGACAAAGAGAAGGCAGTTAAAGTTTCTACTGTCATGTTACAGTACTTTTGGTGTGTATTTGTTAGTCTATTCCTGACACTTTAAATGGGAAGTACTACTAGAATCTATATTGTCTTTATGACAGCAGTTAAAAATTTTGCCTGCTGCATGAAGTGTGTTGCCTTATAGAAAGAAATAGGTGTCATAGCCTTAAGAATTTGTCACGATAAAGTATTACCTATAGAGATTTTAATATTCATGAGTAATTGCATGGTATGAGGAGTCAACTAATATGGAGGAGTCTTGGCAATTAAAGTGATATGAAAAGATGCTACCATATTGGGCTGTTGTCTTTATGGGCCAGATTTCTAAAACTAGAATTGTTTATTTAGAAAACCAGAAAACATATTTTAGACTGCTCTTTTAGTGCAGTTCATAGACTTAAGGCCTTGTCTACATTGGGGATTTGTCACAGTTAGAGCCATTTTTGCTAGCCAGTGTAACTGTATTATTGCAAACCCCTAACATAGAGAAATCCACAAAATACACTGGTGCAGCTTACCATAGTTTCAAACAATAGTGGCTTTACTTATCCACATGATAGGATTTTCTCCATTTGCTGCCCAATCATGGCTGTAACGGGGGCAATTCTTGAGTGTAGGTGAGGCCATAGCAATTACAGCATGAATGGGATGCCGGGGTAACCAGGAAGAGCTGGAATAAAGAGAATCTCAATCAAGCTAAAAATTACAGCTGTTTAAACCTAAACGTCACTGATTCTGTTTCTGAAAACAAGCCTTTGATAATGTTGCTATTGAAAGATTTAGAATATTTGGTAAAAAATGTATTAACACATTAGAAGCATTATCACGTGTACCCCTACGAAAATACAGTCCTTCATTAAAGTTAGCTGTATTAATGCTAACAGAAGAGAGTGGATTTTTGATTATCCACGATAAATCTGATAATAAACCAAATGAAGCAGGAGTTACTGTTAGAAGAGCCAAACAAAAATAGTATTTAAAGTTACTTTGTAAGCTGATTCTTTTTTGTATGCATGCTTATGATTATGAAGGATAAATGTCTTAAATTCGCCCCAACTGTGTTTATTTGGATAAATTTAAACAACAAATGGTCTGGTAGCACTTTATAGACTAACAAAACATGTATCATGAGCTTTCGTGGGCACACGAAAGCTCATGATACCCTCTACATGTTTTGTTAGTCTATAAAGTGCTACCAGACCATTTGTTGTTTAAATTCAAAGGTCAGTCTCAAGATGGTGATTTTGGGGGTTTTAGATTACTATAAATGTTTAATTCTAGCTCCAAAATAAGACCAGTTTGTTGTTCTTTTTATCATAGGCACATAGCACTCCTGTTGTTAAGGAAGCCTAATTGTTCCTTTTTATGAACCAGATTTTGGTTGCTTTTGTAGCTTTTGCTCAATTTTAATCGTTTTAGACTGAAATTTTCCATGCTGGGTATCTGCATCAGGCCATTTTTTTTTTAATTGTAGCTAAAATAGTTCAGCCATCTCCAAGAAGGCAGTTGGGGAAAAAACATTGTTATGCCCATATTTTTCTTTTTTTTAAAAAATCACTTTTAAAAAGAAAAGCTCTACCCCTTCCCTTCTTCCCAATCCACAGTTTGGAGGGGACTTAAAATGTGGCAGGGACATGGTCTTTCTGTGTGGGACATGTCGTTTGCCATCCCACTTTAAAAACCATCATTTAGTTAAGTTAAAATTGCAATTTGCACATACTCAGTAGAGAGACTTCTTAGGTTTTAGCTACTACATTTCCAAAAGATTTTGTCTCACTGAGTATGCTAGCCTCTGTGATCAAGCAGGACTTTCCCTGCAGTTGGAGTTGTGGAATATGTTGCAGGCCATACTGGATTTGGATACCTATATTGAAAGCAGGCAGACTCTCTCTCTTTTTTTTGTTTTGTTTTGTTCTCAAGGGCTTCCCTAAGTAACCCAGGCTGCCTGACTTCAATACAGAGGGGGGAGGCAAGCTAGGCATGAGAGAGTGATGGGGAGAAAGATTGGGACATGAAGTCTTGTAGGGGAGACTGACACTGAAGGCTGGTGGAGAGAGAAAATGTTTCCTTTTCTACACCTGGACACAATTAAAAATCTTTTTGAAGATTTTTGTGAAAAATGAGACAGGCAGGCAGACAAATCCCATCTCCAGAATAGTCAACAGGTTGGTGGTTAGAGCACCCACTGGGCGTGTTGAAAAAGCAGAATCAGGTTCCCACTGTAAATGCAGCTGGTATGACCTTTGAAAGCTATCATTAAATCAGTGTTTTCTGCTGCAAAGCCTTTTGATTGAAATATTACTGACCAACTTTATTTATTTTTGAGCCAAATGATTTATTGCACTGCTGCTTCTGCATGTGAACATCTGGATTTAGTAACATCTCTAGAATAGTTTGGAGCAAGAAGTCATGTTTATCCCTATGTGGAAGGTTGTCCACATTTTTATACTAAAGATTCAACTGAAAAATCATAAACACAAAAATCATGACAGTTTACGTACAGTTCAAGGAATGTTTCAGAGAGAGACATGGGGCTTGTCTATCTTTCTGTTTTACTGTACTGTAACTTTCTCTGTCATGGAAGGGAAAAAACACCCCACCCCCTAAATGCAGCAAGTTTCAGCCCTTTAAAGTGCCAGTGTAAACAGGCTCCCAGCACACTTAGCTACTCCCTTTGTGAAGATGGTTTACCTACAAAATTGGTCATAGCTGTCCTGTCCATACAGTGATTCAGAGCAGCCACCCCAGGCCCTGTGCTTTGGGAGCCCCATGGCGACCACTTCAGCCATCCTATCTACGGGACCCTCAAGGCCCAGGATGGCCTGTGGGTTTATCTGGGGAGGGGGTGGGGTAAGGAGGAGGCCTACACAGGATGGCAGCAGGAGTTACCCCCAATGCACACTTCCTGCGGTGACGGGAGCTAAAGCAATGCGGCAGCCTGCTCCACTCCACCACCCATCTCCCAGCCCACTTCACTCCTTTTCTGCGTTGGCAGGAAACGAAGTGCAGCGACTAGGGAATGGGCCGCAGGATTGAGCAGTGCTTGTTGCCAGGTCGCTCCGGCTCCTGTCGCCATGGTGAGTGCTGGGGTGGGGGGAAATTGGAAGACAACCCAGGTTCACGCCCTGCTCCAGGCCCCCTGTGATCCCTGGCTCACCTCACTCAGGGAGGGAGCTTTGTACATGGGGTACAATGGTGGGGCAGTGTGGAGCAGAGCCGGGGCTTCGTGGAAGGGGTAGAGTGGGGGTGAGACCGGCCAAGGCCTGCAGCAGGGGTTGTTGCCTCGGGCCACATGTTCCCTTGGGGATAGCATTGGCATTGCTGGTGCTGTAACCACACTGTTGCGGCAGTACTTTATACTCATCTATGTAGACAAAGCCTTACACTCCCTTACTCTGATAAGGATGGTACATAATTCATGCTTTATATGTTTATCCATTTATATTAGTCAGAACTGGGGGGTGAGGAGGAAAGTGTGTGTGTGTGTGTGGTAATTTCAACATATATTCTAATATGTTTTTAATTTGAATTTAATAATAATTGCTAATGCACTCTTTTGTAAGTATCCTCATTCTATCTTTAGGTTTACCTCTATTGGTCCAAAGAACAATTGCAAGAACTATTGTTCTTCAGGAAATAGTAGGAAAAGGCCGCTTTGGTGAAGTCTGGCGTGGAAAATGGTGTGGAGAAGATGTAGCTGTGAAAATTTTCTCCTCAAGGGATGAAAGGTCTTGGTTTCGTGAGGCAGAAATCTATCAGACAATTATGCTGAGACATGAAAACATCCTGGGGTTTATTGCTGCTGATAACAAGGGTATATAGTATTTCCAAACATAATTTCACAATGTTTGTTCTGTGCACCATGGCAGCTCCAATGAAACTGATTTTTCCACAACCCTTGCTCTGCTTTGCTAAAACATGGGGCCGTGTGTTTAATGATTTGAGGAGTTGATTAGGAAAATTAATTTTACAATTTTTAGGCTTCAGTCCTATGTTAAGCAGATGTCTGTGTCAGTATGGAGCCATGAGGCCCTGCACAAATGCAGGGGTCTGCTTGAGTGGAGTTCATTGTGGAATAAGGGCCTCGCTGACTTAAGTGAAAGTTTAAATGAGTCTTATTTATATCAGCTAGTTGATTAATTAGAATAATATTGAAAACATTACTGAAAGATTGATTATGAATTTATGCTATCAATTTAATCAAGCTGCATGAATGCTTTATACCCTCTACTTTAAGCCATGCATGTACAGCCAATGCTATAAAAATAGATTACTTTATATAGATAACAATCCAGCAGGAAAATAATTAATTGTAGAAATAGATCTTGAAATTCAGGATTGCTGTACCAAAACCTTTAAAGATTAACTAATATTTCTTACATTTTGAGAGCTACAAGAGTTAATGGAGACTTTGCTATTGCTGCAAAACAATGAACTGAATTATGTCACCAGCTCTTATGAGAGTAAACGGAGAACCCCTCATTTTTGATTGCCATATGTGCAAAAGTGCTCAACTTCCAGAAGCTCCCATTGTTCTCAGTGGGAAGACTAGTGCTAAGCACATCTGAACGCTGGCCATTAATCCGTTGGGCTCTCTGCACTGTGTAACATACTAGATGCACAGTGTAGCATGTAGCCACTCCTGTGGCAGAGGCCCTTTAAAAAAAAACCTTGAAAATTTGGTTCCTTTGTGTGTGTATGTATAAAATATATTTGGCCAGTTCTTTACAATGTTAAATAAGATTGATTTCTCTTGATAGATAATGGAACTTGGACTCAACTGTGGCTTGTATCTGAATACCACGAGCAAGGCTCCTTATTTGATTATTTAAACAGAAATGCTGTGACCATTGCTAGTCTGATTAAGCTGGCACTTTCAATAGCCAGTGGCCTTGCACACCTTCATATGGAGATAGTTGGTACACAAGGTATTTGTATTTCTCTTTTTTGGAACTATGAATGGAAACTTTGGCATTTACAAAAATGTGTTAGTTTATTAGTTTGTTAGTTTATTAGACACAAGGAATGATAAAGACTTCTTTTACAAACAGCGTCTTAGCTGGTTTTTTTTTTAAATAGTAAAAAAAAGTAAATGGAATCCTATATGTACAGACTGCTTTATAAATAGAGAGTACATAAGAACGGCAGTACTGGGTCAGACCAAAGGTCTATCTAGCCCAGTATCCTGTCTGCCGACAGTGGTCAGCACCAGGTTCCCCAGAGAGGGTGGACCGAAGACAGTGATCAAGCGATTCGTCTCCTGCCATCCCTCTCCAGCCTCTGACAAACAGAGGCCAAGGACAAGAGTGAGATGCATTATGTTTTTAGAAGTGCTTACAGTCTACATAGCTGCCACAACATCTAGCAATACTAATTCCATAGCATACAGAAAATAGAAAATTTTGGAGTAGCATAAAAATTTAAAATAATGCAAGATATATCATGCTGTTTGTATTCATTATAATTTTAATTAAATTATACAGTGGAGGCTTTTATTTATCTAAAATCGCCACAAGTTCTCTAGTCTGCTCCACTAGAATGCTGTAGAATCCAAGAGATTTTGCTGTAGAAGTCAGCTATTTGAGGTTTTTTGAATATTGTTAGAGAAGCCCATCTGCCTTCAGTGTTGAATAGTTCTATTACAGCTCTAATTTTTCTATATTGAGATGGGAGAGGTCAATAAACAAACTGTATTGTAATTATCTACAATAGTGCTTCTAATTGCTTTTTTGTCTTCACAGGCAAACCAGCTATTGCACATAGGGACCTAAAATCTAAGAATATCTTAGTAAAAAGAAATGAAACCTGTGCCATTGCAGATTTAGGACTTGCTGTGAGACATGATGCTGTATTGAACACAATTGACATACCTCAGAATCCTAGAGTGGGAACCAAGAGGTAAGACCTTTTAAATAGACAAGATAAGTATTTTTCCTTAAATATTAGGGAAGATCCGTTCAGCTTGATTTCCATTTCTGTGCAATTTCTGAGCACTGCAAGAAGCAGGTCTGCTCCTTCTTTTCCAAATTCCTCCTCCTGTCTTTTTTGAACTGTGCTTGCAACATTTTGTCAATTGGGGCAGGTATTAACCCTTTATCTATGATATCCATGTTTTGGGATAGAGAACACAATGGCTACGTCTACACTGGCCCCTTCTCCGGAAGAGGCATGCTAATTTCTAACTTTGGAATAGGGAAATCCGCAGGGGATTTAAATATCCCCAGCGGGATTTAAATAAACATGGCCGCCGCTTTTTTTCCGGCTTGGGGAAAAGCCGGAAAAGAGCGTCCAGACTGGCGCGATCCTCCGGAATAAAGCCCTTTTCCAGAGGATCTCTTATTCCTTATGGCAGCTGGGCCTAGAGCAAGGAGAAAAGAGATCCCATAGTGACACTGGCACTTTATCAACACACTGCAATTTGGTCACTTACCAGGGCAAAGATGGCAGCTGGGCCTAGAGCAAGGAGAAAAGAGACCTGGCGAATCAGAGCTGCTAAGTGGGAATCAGGTATAAAGGAGAGCTGTTAGGGGATCATGGAAGGTCTGGGAAGGAAGTGCCTTCCTAACTGGAGTAGTTTGCATTTGTCCTTACTGAATTTCATTCTATTTACTTCAGATGATATATCTAGTTTGTCCAGATCATTTTGAATTTTAATCCTCTACTCCAGTGCACTTGCAATTCCTCCCAGCTTAGTATTTACAGACTTTATAATCATACTCTTTATGCCATTATCATTGCATACTCTTTATGCAAACTACTCCAGTTAGGAATGCTTTAGCGTAATATTGGTATGGTTTGTAACTATCTTTTTTAGATAGCCCTGTATTAATCCCTTGATGACCCTTTTAGCAGAGAGAAAATTCACACAATTTCAGAAGATTAATAGAAAGCTTTAAATATATATTGCTGTCTTGACCTGCTAACATTCGCGTTGGTATCTTCCAGTGCATTTAGTGCCTTATTTCCCTTTAAAGGGGGGCCGTAATGTACCATGGCTGTTATACAGAGCTAAGTTTACTGTTAACACTAAACTGATAATGGTCACATGGAACATCTAGCGTTTAGAAAAAATATTTTAAAGAATACATTTTTGTGTATTTTTGTTTTTTAATAAAAATATGTTCAAGACAGCCATGACAAGTATTCTTTCTGAGGTTGGGTCAGAGAGTATAGTCCATCTAGGATGGGATTCTTGTATTTTGGGGAGGGAGAAACCCTGGTGCGATTGGTACAATAGACCTCTGGAACAGTCAAAATTATGCTTCTGTCATTTTTTTATGAGTGCGGGAAAAATAATTTATCTACATTCATTTACATTAGCAGCAATGTGGCTGAACCGAAGTTCAGAAAAACTGATGGTAATTGAGGATGGCTTTCCAACATATTGTTCCTAACCCTCTCCATGTGAAATATTAGAATCTTTGTTAGAACTTTTATAAAGTGTGTGTGACCTTTTTTTTAAAAGGTACATGGCTCCTGAAATACTTGATGATGTAATGAACATAAGCATCTTTGAGTCCTTCAAACGTGCAGACATATACTCTCTTGGCTTGGTGTACTGGGAGATATCACGAAGATGCTCAATTGGAGGTAAAATTTCTGACTGTTTTATGTTGCATTTCAGAATTGATAGCAATAATGTGAATTTAAAAGAAATACATTAATATGATGTATGTATTGTTTTAACTGAGTTTTCCAGATAGTGTGTGGATGGAGAAAGAATTACCAGACTTTCATATTAATAATGGCTCAACAGTAAATTTGAAAGAGTTAACAAGTAAACAAATAGCAGCTAATGCCTGTCTGATTTAAGTATTCTGAAATATCAAAAGCAACAGAACAGATATGTAAATTATTTTTCACTTTCCCTTGTCAAATAAACTAATTTATATTGCAGAATTCATAAGAAAATCAGTTCTTCCCACGTAGCTTCCCTCCTGATTGGTTTCTAATCTGCAGGAAGTTAATATTTCAAAATTTTGGTCAGAAAAAAATCCATAAAACTAATCTCAGATGATGGTGTGCTGGTGTAACTCACACACCTTCTATGTGGTGCACTGTCCCACCTACTGGAACTGAAATCACTTTCAGAGAGAATAATGAGTCTGCTCCACAGCCTTAGTTGAGAGCCAGCTGGCTTTTAGCTCATGTGGTAGAGGCTCATGTTCTAAGTTCCAGAGATCCTCGGTTTGATTCTGTTTGTTGGTGTTACACTGGCAGTATGAAAATAAGGGGTCCATATTGTCAGGAAATGCAGTAAACCTGCTCACGAGCTGGAGAGTTTGGGTCGCAACAGTTGGCAACAAAGACTCTACTGGTTTGGATTTTACATTGGTCAGAACCAGCAAGATTGAACTCTACAGTCTCCCCACTTCAGCAAGATACTTTTTACTTCTAACCCTCTTCTCAAAAAACAAACAAAACAAAACAAAACCAGTATCACTCACCTTATCTTTGTTACAGTTAGTGAGGTTCTTCCCAGAGCGCTCTCTACCCAGGTCTTGTAGCCTTATCCACTGCTGCAATTCAAAGGGTTTTCTCATGAAGGAGGGGTAAGGACCTTCCATCCCAGGACTCAACAGGAGTATCTAAATGAGTAAGCACAAAGATCGCAATGTTTATATGGAATCTCGTTAGGGATTTTTTTTTCTTCTTCTTTTAGGACTCATTGAGGAGTACCAGTTGCCTTATTATGATGTTGTGCCTTCAGATCCCTCAATAGAAGATATGAGAAGGGTAGTTTGTGAACAGAAACTTAGACCAAATATCCCAAACCAGTGGCAAAGTTGTGAGGTGAGTTTTTTCTCCCATTTTTAGAAATATATATTTTGTAAATTTATATATAAATGTATATATTTATACATTTAAATCTTTAAGACTGGGATTTTCAAAGGAGCCCAAGGGAGTTAGGTGCCAGACTTCTATTATATTTCAGTAGGATTTGGATGTCTAGCTTTTTAGCTGGCAGAAGCAAGGAGCTTTTAAAAAGCTTGGAAGAGCTTAAATATATAGGTTGGATCATGCGGAAGCCAGTCGTTAACCTGAGTCCATCTTTCAAGTATATGGGAAGGCAGCAGTCTTAGGGAGATATGGATTCTTTCAGGGCCAGCCCACGACATTTTGGCACCTGGGGCAGGGAGCTCAAATGATGCTCCCATGCCACCTTTTCTCCTGCCTGCCTATTATATGTCTTGTTCCCTCCTTCCTCCAGCACAGCACTCCACCATGTCTGTGCATCTAGAGCAGAGAAAATACATATGCACCAGCAGCAGACACAATTTTCTACACTCTGGGTCTTAGATGCCTCATTTTGCCTCGTAATAAGGCCAGCCCTGGATTCTTTTACCCCTTCTCCCATTCCCCACACAAACATCCCTTGCTTGGCACTATGTTGCATCCCCTGGACCTCATACAAAACCTCTCTCCTGCTAAGTTCAAGAAAAGAGCATTTTAAGGTAAATATGTTGAAAAGAGCCTGACAGCACTGAATAGCAAAGTATTCTTTCTCTTTGACTAAACCAAAACAAAACAAAGTTTCTGTCATTTTTGCTGAAATAGTATTTCAGAGTATTCTTTTGTACCTTGCATTGGGGTATTTTTAACTTATTGCACTAAAGCAGTGGATTTTTGTAATCCAAAACCTCTTTTTGTTTGTTTGTTTTAAGGCACTCCGAATCATGGGTAGAATAATGCGCGAGTGCTGGTATGCTAATGGCGCAGCTCGACTGACTGCGCTCCGCATTAAGAAGACCATTTCACAACTCTGTGTACATGAAGATTCCAAAGCCTAAATGGGTCATTTAGGGGAAGGAGGAAGAAATCATTCTCCATCTCTTTACATGTGATTTGTTTTCTGTCTACCTCACATATATACAGTACAGTATTTAAGTGCCCAAACCACAGCACTGAAAAATAATTTCATAGTTGGCTACAACCAGCTGCAGCTTTTGGTTGGTGTTGCTGTCTTTATAAAGCAAATCACCAACTCATGCTATTTTTTTTTTAATGAAAGTCGATATTAGGAAAACAGCAGTACTGAGTTACAAAACATTATTCCTTTAGACTATTTTATTATTTGTAAGTTTTTTATTCTAGTTAAAACCAAAATACGTTGTTGAAGGGATGTATTTGTGTAAAACAGGTATGCAAAAGAAACCACACACATTTTATCTTCAAACTAAAATCAGACCAAATTCATCAAGCTTCTTGGGTGTTTTCCCATAGAATCCTGTAGAATATATTACAGTAAAGTGCATTTATATGTTTTTATATTCTATATATAAATTAGCAGCCAAACAAATAAGAAGATTATACCCCTCAATATGTATACTGTGAAGCTAAAGTAAACACGTGAGTGTTTCTCTCTCTCTTTTTTTAATGTTACTACAGCTCTATCCAAAGTTAAGGTTTGGCAGTATTTTTGTTAAGTATCCCTATTTCAGGGATCAGACAGTCATAAACACCAACTCTGAGCTAACTGTTCCAAAGTCTCAATCAAGGACCAATTTTTTTAAAATCAAATTGTGAAAAAATTATGAGAATTGTACAGTGTAATCCAAAAATAATGTATTTTAACTAAATTTTCTATAGACCAATACCCAAAGTTTTAGTGTCTTTTGGTATTTGGGGGAGTGAGAAGGTCTAATACAGTTGTTTGCTGCAAAATACAATGTACGTGTGAAATTGCTTCAGATGCAGAAACTCATTCACGCTAACCTGTACCCTGAATACAATAGCACAGATAGTTGTGTTTGAGAGGAGCAGGGCAACATCCACAAGATATATATGTAATTGTGCAGAACCAGCACCTCCCACACTGAGTGAGTGGTATAGAAAGGCCTCAGAGAGGTGGTGCTAGGTCATTGGTGCCCTAAACAGGAATATCTTGGCCCTCCTGCACATAACAAATAATAAGAAGTGAAGAGGGGACTCTTTGATCTGCTCAGGGCCCTAAGCAATTGTTTTCTCTGCTTATGCCTAGTCCAGCTCTGAGTGCTCAGGATTGGAGCAGTAGTACTCGTGAATGGCTGTACTGCAGTCCCTGTGTTCTGACCTGGCTTTGGGAGATGTATTTCCTTCTATCAACCATTTTCTTCCATGCTTTAATTATTTTTAAAAAATTCCAATCTACTCTGTAGACACAAGAACTTAGTGCTCCTAGCACAGGAAAGCAATACACATGTTCACCAGTGTAAGAACACCTGCACATTTAAAGGGCTAAAGGCAGGGTGCCAGAACCTTTGAGGATTTAGGATTGGGGGTGAGGAGGACTGGCACAGTAACTAGAAGGGTCAGTGGACCATGCCCCTGGACTCCGAACCTGAATATTTCCCCCTCCCAAACTGCAAGCCTGTGGAAAGTGTAGAGAAGTGCTGGCAGGGGGCTGTGCTTTACGGTGACATTGCCCCTCCTAACTGCAAGCCTTGGCAGGTGTGGAATGGTACCAGTAGGGGTTCACAGCAGGGTTGTTGATCATTCCCCTGCCATGAAGTGCAGCTTCTCCCAGCTTCTCAATGCATGTCCAAGGCTTGCAGGTGGGGAGGGGCCAACACCACCTCTGCTTTCCAAATTATGCCCATATAAAAAAGTGAGGATTATAGGTTCTCCCTCCTCAATTATAGTAATTGGGCAAAGTCATTGACATGAGGCCATATTGGTTTCTTCAGAGCGATCAAATATGCATCTCATGAATAACTCCAAGGAGGTATCAGATAAATAACAGGACATCAAAACAATCTCTAAATAGATGTATTTCACAATAATGTTAGCTTACAAAAGAGTAGTATCAGTAGGCATTTTCAAAAGTTCCTAAATATTCTAGTATTTCATGATTTCTTGTAATGGATCAAAAGACATGTGGATAAGTAACTCTCAGACACTTCGGGGGAAGATTCTGTTCATACGTCTTTGATTTTGTTTTATTTAAAAAATGATTTCTTATATCCACTATAACCACAGTTTAAAAATATATTTTAAATCCTCAAAATCCAGGAAATACAAAATTAGATCTACAAATCTCCCTTCAACATCACTGATTTGGAGGCAATTCTTTATTATGGGTGTAGAGAGAGGAGGAAAACTTTACGAGAGTGGGAAATGTTGCATGCTATATATACTTGATAGTTTTTGTGAGTGTGGCTAATCCCTATCATTAGGTCTTTTGCCTTTTGTTTAGATGGAAAATCAGGAATTTAGCCTTCAGTTTAGGAGTGTCAGCGATACTTGTTTTATCCTAACATGTTGGAATTCTAGTGCGGAGCTGTTGTTTGTTCTTTAAATTGATACTAGTGAACTATAGCATACATATTTATAGAATTTATAGTCATTTTACACTGGCTAAGTTGAGCTGAAGACTTAGTTATTTATGCTCCTGTAATTAGACTGTAGGATAAAGTCTAGATATGTAAAAATATTTCAGTATTGCTTTACTCAGCATAGCAATGCCTTATCTTAGGCAAAGGTACTTAAGAGTTTTAAAATAAGAATTTTTAGCATGAGGTAGCAGTATCATGGTGAGAGAGTTCATGCCAAGCCAGACCATTGTAGATTTAAACCTAGGTTTGCTGCGCATTAACTGGCCATGCAGATAAGCCATATATCTCATTTTAATAACTGACTTAGTCCTAAATCAGTTAGGTATTGTGGTGCTCAGGAGAAAAGTGTCTAAATAACTGTAAATATCTAAACCTGTATTTAATGAATAGCTAGTAAATTTTATTTCCATATATTTTTATAAGTTCCATGTGTGTAAATTATACCAGGCTGTTTTGTCACATGCACACTTTCTAATCTACCATATTTATTTGAAAATTAAATGAAAAGGAGCTAACCACTACAACAGACATTTTTTAGGCTCGTGTTTTTTCTGTTTATAAATTAAAGATGAATGGGATCTTGAGTTGCTTCAAAACCAGCTCGTATTTAAAAACAAACAAAAAAAAATTATCTGTGAAAGGGCCTGATCCATCTCCCACTAAAGTCAACGGAAAGGCTCCCATTGACTTCTGTGGAGCTAGATCAAGCTTACAGTACTTCAATTACTTTTCTGATCTGTTTTTTTTTAATATAAAGAACAACAAAAATTATTAAAGATCTAAAAAACATGACCTGTGAAGATAAAATTGGATTTGTTTAGTTTAGAAAGTGAAGTCTGAGACGCCCTTGGACTAGTTTTCAAGTATAGGTTGAACCTCTCTAGTCCGGAACCCTCGGTGCCAGACCATGGTGCCAGACCATGGGAGGTCAATATTGTCTAGCAGCATTACCAACACTTCCACTGCTTACTGGTCTCCTAGAAGACAGTTAGGGATAAGTTAGAGCTAAATAACAGCACAGAACATGGGGAGCTGAGATTAGTGGCTGTAAATAAACTTTATGGAACCATGGGAAACTTGGCCGTATCAATAAGTGGACATCTGGCTAACTAAAATCATGTCAACCATTGTTGCTGGACCAGAGAGCGCTGGACTAGAGAGTTTCAACCTGTATCTAATAAGATTTTACATGGAGGAGGCTGAAAAGTTATTCTCCTTAACCTCTGGGGATAGGATAAGAAACAATGGATTCAAATTTCAGCAAGGGAGGTTTAGGTTGGGTATTAGGAAAACCTGCCTAAGACACCGGGTGGTTAAGCATTAGAATAAATTACCTAGTGAGGCTGTGGAATCACTATCATGGAGCTTTTTAAAAGCATGTTAGATAAACTCCTGTCAGATGGGCTTGGACCAGCCGTGAGTGGACTTGATAAGCTGTAGAGGTGCAGCCCTTCCTGTGCTAAGATTCTATATGAGGCTGTAATTTCAACATTGATTAGTTCCTCCAATTGGGGCTAGATTTGCCAAAATGCTGAGCATCCAGCATCTCCTATTTATTAGTCTCACAATTCCCTTAAGTTTTACCTACATAAAAGAGAAACAAAATTCATGTGCATTTACTCAGCAACACACTTGACACAAAAAGAGAATTTAAAAAATGGTCTATAGCATAAAACAATGTATTAAAATGTGTTTAAAAGAGGTCTAATATTCTTATTCAAAATCACTTGGGTATTTTGAAATCCAGTGTAAACCCAATTAGTTTTAAATAACTTTAAAAAATGACTCCAATGACATTTTAGATTTCTTCTTTTCATTTCGTACTAATATTACACTCTTGTATACAGTATCTGATACTAAAAATAAAAACTGAACCCACAACTGCCTTTCCCATAAGTTTTGATCTTGCAATTTTCTTTTTTTAACATGAAGTTGGGCTAGACCCTGTTGGGCTGCTAGACAGCACTTTTATTTAATCTATTGGAATTAAATCGTGCACAGAGATAATATTAAAGTAGTAAGGCTGCTGCTGCTATTTTTTGTAGCATAGCCTGGATTTGCATTGAGGTTTACGGATAAATAAAGCTTATATGTCTGCTAAAGATTTTCTACTCTAAGTAACTGTCCTTTCTACACAAGCATGACTCCCATTTTAGATTTTTATTATAAATATTATGTGCTTTTTAATCCTGTACCTCAGGTTAACTACTAATTACTAGAAAATCTTACCTGTTCCAATCTAATTGTTACCCCCACAAAATCCTAACATTTAGACTACACTAATTACAGCAGTTCATACAATAAGGGCTCGTCTACACTGGCCCCTTTTCCGGAAGGGGCATGTTAATTTCAGAGATCGTAATAGGGAAATCCGCGGGGGATTTAAATATCCCCCGCGGCATTTAAATAAAAATGTCCGCCGCTTTTTTCCGGCTTTTAGAAAAGCCGGAAAAGAGCGTCTACACTGGCCCCGATCCTCCGGAAAAAGCGCCCTTTTCCGGAGGCTCTTATTCCTCTTATTCCTTTGAAGTAGGAATAAGATCCTCCGGAAAAGGGCGCTTTTTCCGGAGGATCGGGGCCAGTGTAGACGCTCTTTTCCGGCTTTTCTAAAAGCCGGAAAAAAGCGGCGGACATTTTTATTTAAATGCCGCGGGGGATATTTAAATCCCCCGCGGATTTCCCTATTACGATCTCTGAAATTAACATGCCCCTTCCGGAAAAGGGGCCAGTGTAGACATAGCCTAAGATTACAGATGGAGCCAGGCACTTGCAGGATTCTGTGGTATCCTAGGGAAAATAGCCACAATCAATTCATCAAGACACAGTAAAATAAAGGAAACAAAGATTGTGTGAATTTGATAGGAAAATTTCTTACTACAAAGGAAAACAAATAATTATATAATCCAGCATTTCCCACATTAGCTTTCATCTTTCAATGTGCAGAATTAATTGTTCTGCCACTTACCATCTCATTTTATTCAAAATTGTTTTTCCAAGTCATGTCACCATTTTTTTTGCGCTCTCTCACTCTGTGTAAAATTATATGTTTATCTCTTTTCTTAAGGCCTTTTTAATGTTTCTCTATTTGTTCCCATACAATTTTCTCCTATCAGTTTGTCATTTTTCCTCTTTTTATATTATTTTTCTCTCTTTTTTTTATTGGAGTTTCCATTACTCTTTAAGGAAAATTCTATAGAATTTAATGGAGCATTTAAAACTTTACTATAACATTATTGGGCCATCCTGGAATTTGAATTTTATATTTTTCATATTGAATTTTATGTGTTGCTTCAAATGGATGATATTTTCAATGAAATCCATTCCTATTTAAATGTAACTTTAATCAATTCCCCTGTTGATTTCACCCCTGGTATATTCTTATAGGCATTTCCTGTGAAGATTCCACTGCTGGTGAGGTCATGGCTTTCATCCCTTGGGCTCAAACACTTTATTGTTTTCTGCATCACATTTATTTTGATTGTATATTCTGGGTAAACTGGGCTTGAGCCAACCATCGTAATTATTGTTATGCTGCTAGCTTTAGTATTGTTGTTAAAACATTTCCATTAAAGCGCATAAAGCAGACAACTTTCCTAAATTTCCAGATCAAGAGGAGACCTTCTTTTTTTTTATCTCTGCCCCAAAATCTTCACAGATTGTGTATTGAACCAGCGGGGAAAACTCTACTCACTTGTGAGAAATGATTGATTCTCCTGGTATTGCTCATTTCTGGCACAGCAACTATCTGAAACTAGTGGAATATTTCACAACTGATTTGTTTTTTAAGTGTAGCCACTTTAAAGAAGCACAATTTACTAATTGATGCTGCCTGTATGTGGACTCAGGAACTATTTTTCCTTTGGATAAAACCCAGAAAGTGAAATGTAAAACATACATTAATGCAACATAAAAGTTTCATGGTTTAAATCTTAACTTTGGTTAAGCATCTGACTTAAAAAAAAATGTTTCCACAGTGAATATTAACTCTGCCCCAAACTAACATCCTGACATTGTTTTAATGTAGGTCTTTTTTTTCTCTTTGGTATGTTTGGTATGTTTTTTTCTCTTTGGTATGTCTAAACCAAATTTTTCTGAATTAATCTTCTGTTGAACCTATATTTAGTCCTTATTTAATGCTAGCCTTCCCATTGTTACTTCACTATTCTCTGCTATGAGTCTTTATTATCTCACATCTGTACTTATAAATAACCTAGTAATATGGACTACAGAAATAGTATCAAAACAGGTTTTACAATAGTAGCGTGGAAGTCTTCTCTACAGTGTGCATGCATAGTAAAGGTCTGCATCACTCCACAGGTGAAAAATGTAGCATATACAATAGATCTTCAAATTGCAGATTGGACAAAATCTGGCCCCATTGTCATCAGCGTTTGAAACAAAGTCTCAGACTTGCCTTAAAACTTGTGCCATTTAACTTTATAGATGTTTACAACTTTTCAAATACAAGGTTTACTCCTACCCACTTGGGGCCAGATCCCAGTTCTATTGAATTTTTTAAGGATATGTCTACACAGCAGCATTATTACATTATTCTGAAATAACATAGTGCGCAGCTACACTACAAACCCTTATTTCAAAATAATGGCGAGCTGAAGGACTTCTTACTCTGACTCCTGTAACCCTCATTTCACGAGGAGTAAAGGAGGCTGAAGGAAGTTCTTCCTTTGACTTCTTGCTGTGTGACAGCATCAAAAGCCAAATTAAGGTATTTTGACTTCAGCTACACAATTGATGTAGCTGAAGTTGCATAGCTTATTTCGAGTTTTGTCCTGCTGTGTAGACATACCCAGAGGTGGCCCGTGAGTATAGGCCGACTCGGCTGTCCCCTAGGGTGCTGCTGTGAATGGGGCGACCGGGGCACCCCATGATGATGTCACATCATTGATGGCCATGCAGGCGGGGACGCCGATCGCGCGTTCCGCCTGGGGTGCCAGCTGCCGCAGCCAGCCTCAAGCAGCCCCTGGACATACCCTAAGAGTTTTGTCATTGATTTCAGCAAGGCAGGGATCATTTGGGTAACTGAGCAGGGAGCAAGGTTTGTCCCAAAGACCTGAGTTCTCTTCAGGCAAATCTTTCACTGTGGTTAGTAGGACTGATCATTTAGCTCAATAACACCAGCATACATCAGGAGCAATTCCTCAGCAGTGAAAGTGTCATATGGGATGAGAGTCAGAACTTTTTGAGTAGAAAGTTCAGGAATACAATGTACATAAAATAGAAGTTACTGTGAGAATGATCTGGCACAATGTTCCTCTCTCTATGTATGTGAAGATTGTGGCTCAAAAATTGTTCGGGTACTAGTTATATAAAGATATTTTTCTGGTTTCTGAAGCACCATGCCACCTATGGTATGTTCCATATAAGAAATAGAACTAATTATTAGTTGCCTTGCAGAAAATAAAAAAACAAACAAACTTAACTGCACATTGTAAGCTATGTATTTCTGATTTGAAATACTGTGGTAAGGATAATCTGTTGGGACACATTTGTTTTCATGAAATGTTTAGGAAGGAATGCAAATGTTCCTTTTATTAGACTGCACAAGTTATGAATGTACCAAAAAATAAGCATTAAAAAGTACAGAATATTTTTACAGTATAATACATGTGCAATAAATTGTATCCAAAGGCTCTGAATGTATTTTGTGGATAAATAGACTGAATGTGTTTTAAACATAATTCTTGAGTTTTAGTGACACAGTCCCCAAAGACAAATGTCCAGTATTTGTCAATGTACAAATATTTGTATAAGCTGTGCATTTTATTGACATATTAACATTTTATCTAGGAGAAACAGAATATTTTAGAATTTAGCATAGTAGTTAGAGATTAAATCATTCATGCTGTAAAATATTTAACCTAGCATATACTGTGTCAAGTAAAAATATTTATTTTTTAAAAAAATAGTTAATGTTATTGCTTAATATTGCAGCTGTCTATG